CTCTACTACCCAACTACTCTACTACCCTACTACTTAACTACTCAACTACTCAACTACTCTACTACTCAACTACTCTACTACTCAACTACTCTACTACTCAACTACTCTACTACTCAACTACTCTACTACTCAACTACTCTACTACTCAACTACTCTACTACTCAACTACCCTGATACTCTACTACTCCACTACCCAACTACGCTACTACCCAACTACGCTACTACTCTACTACGCTACTGCGCTGACTACTATACTACTCTACTGCCCAACTACTCTACTACCCAACTACGCTACTACACAACTACGCTACTACTCTACTACCCAACTACGCTACTACCCAACTACTCTACTACCCAACTACTCTACTACCCTACTACTCTACTACTCAACTACTCTACTACTCAACTACTCTACTACTCAACTACTCTACTACTCAACTACCCTGCTACTCTACTACTCCACTACCCAACTACGCTACTACCCAACTACGCTACTACTCTACTACGCTACTCCGCTGACTACTATACTACTCTACTGCCCAACTACTCTACTACCCAACTACGCTACTACACAACTACGCTACTACTCTACTACCCAACTACGCTACTACCCAACTACTCTACTACCCAACTACTCTACTACCCTACTACTCTACTACTCAACTACTCTACTACTCAACTACTCTACTACTCAACTACTCTACTACTCAACTACCCTGCTACTCTACTACTCCACTACCCAACTACGCTACTACCCAACTACGCTACTACTCTACTACGCTACTCCGCTGACTACTATACTACTCTACTGCCCAACTACTCTACTACCCAACTACGCTACTACACAACTACGCTACTACTCTACTACCCAACTACGCTACTACCCAACTACTCTACTACCCAACTACTCTACTACCCTACTACTCTACTACTCAACTACTCTACTACTCAACTACTCTACTACTCAACTACTCTACTACTCAACTACCCTGCTACTCTACTACTCCACTACCCAACTACGCTACTACCCAACTACGCTACTACTCTACTACGCTACTCCGCTGACTACTATACTACTCTACTGCCCAACTACTCTACTACCCAACTACGCTACTACACAACTACGCTACTACTCTACTACCCAACTACGCTACTACCCAACTACTCTACTACTCAACTACTCTACTACCCTACTACTCTGCTATACTCTACTACTCTACTACTCAACTGCTCAACTACTCAACTACTCTACTACTCAACTACTCAACTACCCTACTACTCAACTACTCAACTACCCTACTACTCTACTACTCTACTACTCTACTACTCAACTACTCAACTACCCTACTACTCTACTACCCTACTACCCTACTACCCTACTACCCTACTACTCTACTACTCTACTACTCTACTACTCTACTACTCAACTACCCTACTACTCTACTACCCTACTACCCTACTACCCTACTACCCTACTACTCTACTACTCTACTACTCTACTACTCTACTACCCTACTACTCTACTACCCTACTACTCAACTACTCAACTACCCTACTACTCAACTAGCCTACTACCCTTCTACCCTACTACTCAACTACTCAACTACCCTACTCAACTACTCTACTACCCTACTACTCTTCTACTCTACTACCCTATTACTCTACTACCCTACTACCCTACTACCCTACTACCCAACTACTCTACTACTCTACTACTCTACTGCTCTACTACCCAACTCACCATTCACTGTCAGGTACATGACAACTTTTCATTTGGCCAAATATATGGGTAAAATTTGGTGAAGTAAAAGAGTGTTCTGACTGTAATTTTTAAACTCAATACTAAATATCTTGACGACCGAACAAACGTTACTCACGCTAAAACCTATGCGCTAAAGTGTAAAAGTCATAAACTGCTTAATTATTTATTTGCAGACAGAATATTCCGTCTGTAATTGTAAAGTCTATTTAACTGAAACCACTACCCGTAGTACGAGCGTAGTCCGGAAATTTTCATATATACGCATCATATTTCTTGCCAGGTATAAATGTTTTATACTTGTTTTATAATATAGCACAAAGAAACATAAAGAAAGAAATTTTCCGACGTTTCCGTGTTGACATTGAGTTATTATCAACACAGCTCTTAGCCAATCAGCGTTCAGAATTTACAAATGCTATATTATAAATTTAAATATCATCTTGATAAATTCTTGCAAATTTCAAAGTTTATACCGTTCTTATATACAACTACTGTTTAAGATATTGTCTTATAATATATATAGTAACAATTTGCCGGTAAAGGAATTTGTATTTAATTCCTTTTTTCCGGAGTAATTTTTTCATTGTACTTAATTACATTTTAGAACAAGTAATTGTAATCAGGAATTTATTACATTTTAAAGCAAGTAATTGTAATTGGAATTAATTCCTTTTTTAGTGGTAATTTTGCAGCCCTGCCCAGTTGGAAGGCAAACAAATGTATCTTGGCCTGATAAAAAAGAAAAGATTGCTTTCTTTTGTTCTTCTGTCACTGCTTTCACAGTTTCATCTTTGAAATTATCAATTACAAAATACTGAATAAAAACCTCAAAACGACCATGCTGTGCAAGTCACCGTTTTGACACTACAGGCTCAATGTCATCACAGCATAATTCAGCTCTGAGTATGCGTACTATTTGTTTCTCTAAACCAGTTTCAGAACTTGTTTTACAAACTGGTTTGACTTGTCCACGATCATGGACTGAGGAAGTGTCAGATCTAGGCAGAGGTCTCTTTTCCTTCACTTCCCTGCACAAATAGAGACCTCTGTCAGCAGGGAAAGGTCCATGGCCCATAAGTTTGATTCCCGTCTGTCTTTTTCTTGAAGCTAAATTCGGACCCCCAGACACACATGTCTGGGGGTCTGCTTACCTGAGGGTCAAGAAATGTGTGTTTATATCATGAGGTAGCGTTCCAGTTATATTCATTTCAATGTATGAAACACTATTTATTATACTTTTAGGAGGTATATGAAAGCGATGTTGAGCCTTGTTCACATACATGCCTGTGATGTTAGATGCAAGGCCGTTGGAAGTAAATCAATATTGGAGGAGCTCAAGAATAAATCTGAATAGACCTTTCCCCTTTTGAGTGCAATTTTGATCTAGACAAGTCTGGCCAAAAATTTCATCACAGCTTGAAAGAGCATCACAAAATTAGTAATATTCCGAAGTTTCGTTGCGAAATGTTGTAAAATGCGGATAATATAGCCTTGCGACGTTTGCTGTTTTTCAGTCATTTTGCATTACAAACGGGAAATTGATAATCAGATGATCAAACTGATTATCAATGTCCCGTTTGTAATGCAAAATGACTGAAAAACGGGGGGGGCAACCCCTGCACCCCACCGGTAGATCCGCCCCTGGTAAATACTCTTCTTTAATTTACAAACATGTTCAGGTTTGTCAGGATTTACAAACCCTTCTGGTTGCGACATGTAAATATCACAATCTAACGAATCATTCAAAAAAACTGTCTTTACGTCCATCTGATGTACTTTGAGATCATGTATATTAGCTAAAGCAAGTAATGATCTCACACACGTGTATCATAATCTGTTCCTTTTGTTTGAATATAACGTTGCGCAACTCTTTTAGTTTATTACGCTTGGACTTTAATGGGTCATAAATTTTGAACATTTTCCATAAATATAATTCTTCATACGTCTTTCAATTTCTCCCACTTGCTTGACATTCTCGGAATCTGTGGGTTGCTCATCGTTTCTCAATGTTCCTCTTTCTCTCATTGGCTGGTCAGTATATAGAATAGGAACTTCATGTAAGTGATGATCAATTCCATGATTATTCATGCTGTTCTCAGGCCCAATTGCTCTCTCGATTTCCTCATCATCTTCCGGAATGATGAGATTCTTAAACACCGTTTAACTTGGACTCTCATTTCGACTTTCTTCCTTTATATCATATCCTTTTTCCCTGTGGGATATCCGACAAAAATCTTATTCGTATGATTTCTATGATTTCTGCTTTCCCAAAACACCGGTGCATGCCATAAGCTCAATATCCCACAATGCATTGGGAAAGATTGAAGAAAAAAAGATGGGGGGGGGGTGATGTTTCGGTGAATTGTCGTCCGTCTATCAGCAGTGATGAGAGCGGCTACGTTGCAGGCATGCCACAGGCATATGTGAACTAGGTTTTGCATGGGACAACTTTTAACGACAGCTGGATTGGAATGCAAATTGTTGGTTTTGTGTGACCTCACTTGCGAGTTGTCATTCAAACATGTAATCAAAGGTCGTTGAGGCCGATTCACGGATGAGATCAAATGAAAGTGACAGAAAGAATTAGAGCAGTTCGCAGTTGTTTTGTGCTTCTTTTGCAAAATACAGATACAGATACAGATATTTCACAGCACACTCCCTATAGGGCTTTTCAGTGACTGGTTACATTATGAATAGATAGATAGAACCGGACTGACGTGAAGCAGACCGAGGTAGACTTTGAGCTTACAAATGGCGCTTGAGCAGCCGCTATTAGTCCATACCTCATTAATGATCTGCCTCCAGACCTATGTGCCTAACCCACCCTGTCAACTTTCCCTGTGGGAGGAAACCGGAGTACCCGGAGAAAACCCACGGCTTTCGGCAGAGCGTTGACTTTTACTCTTTTCACATGAGGACTGGGTTCGAGTCACATTGAGAAGTTCTCACTGAGATTCGAACCTGCGGCCTTAGAGGTGAAAGGCAAGTGCGCTAACCACTTCGCCACCGAAGCCCCATTCAAAAGAACGAATGCGTGCTCCAGCCCGATTTCCGGTTCTGAAAGGCCCGATTCGCAGGCAGACAGTGGGCGCAAAGCAGGCTGGTCATTTCCCATTGTTTAACTGCCCCACACTCAAGTAACATCTGTGAGTCAAAAAATGATAAAGAAGTGTATTATTTATTCTTACATTTATTTCTAGGTACTGAAAAGATGACAGTGACATTAATTGATGCAAATCATTGTGCTGGTGCGGTGATGTTCCTGTTTCAGGGATATTTTGGTTGTATTCTACATACTGGCGATTTTCGTTATTTTGATGGTATGCTAGATATACCTCTGTTTACGAATGGCATTGTTATCAATACGCTGTACCTAGACAACACATATTGTGACCCAAAATGTGAATTTCCTACAAGGGCTGAAGCAAAAGAAAAAATATTGGAGATTATACATAACAATCCTGAAAAGGATATAAGGTTTGGCGTGGATATGCTTGGAAAGGAGGACATGCTCTGTGACATTGCCAAAGACCAAGGTTTCCCGATTTTTGTGGATGAATTTCGTTATAAGACTGCGGAGTTACTTGGCTATGGCGAATATTTTACTTTAAATCAGGAAGAGACATACATTAGAGCGGAGAAAAAAAGTTGTGTTAACAGATGCTCATTGGCATTTTTGAACAACGGTATTTGTCCAACAATAGGTATCATACCAAGCGCTTTATACCAAGGCAGAGATAACCCATTTGTAAAATCTGACACAATCTTTGTTGTGCCATATTCTGATCATTCCTCATTCTCTGAGCTGAAAAAATTTGTTGCCAAATTGAAACCACAGCGTATTATTCCAATTGTTTCTAAGAAGAATAAGGACGAAGACTCGCACGACCGAGCAGACATGACGATTTTTGCAGAAGAAATGTCAAGTGATGCAGGACAACATGTGTTCGATGTACCTTCGACAGTACAAGCATTCATATCGAGAGATTTTAGTGGAAATTTAAATTGCAGCGGCAAGAAACGAAAGGCGTCAACTAGCTACTTTAATGGTAGATCAAAACGAGCATGTGGTATTGTTTTCTCACCTGGAAAGCAAGGAGAAGTGCACAAAGACGAAGATCAAATGCCCATCGATCCAAATATTACTAACAGATCTGAAACAGACGTGAAGGAAAATGAGAAAGGTGAGAATAAAAGAGAATTATTGATTGATGTTGAGTATACTTTTGTGCGAATATGATGTTTGCGATGTTACTCTGAGTGTGCATCCACACCGGGCAAGCTGTGGTCAGGCAAACGTTTCAGCTTGCCCGGTGTAGATGCGCACTCAGAGTAAGATCACAAACATCATATTCACCTGAGTACATAACACCAAGTCCAACATATGCAAAAAGTATCATATCTTAGAACACATTGATATCGAAGGAACTAGACTCAGTTCCGAAATATCACCACTCGAACCGACTTGACCTCGTAGCTCAGTTGGTAGTCTAGATCATTGAACTAGTATCCCAAAGGTCGCGGGTTCGATTACCACCATGGTCAGGCAAACTTTTCAGCTTGCTCGGTGTGGATGCATACTCAGATGTTGAGTATGTCATATTATTATTATTATTATTATTATTATTATTATTATTATTATAATATGAATAATAATAATAATAATAATAATAATAATAATAATATTATAATATTATTATTATAATATGATTATTATTACAAGGAATGGATGAATCCGGAACTGTTAAGTGTTTAAACGTTGTACTGTCATTTTGTTATCTTAATAGTATAATTTTTGCATATATAATCAGTGATTTAAGTAGCCAGTTGTAAATTACCTGATATAAATGAGATTTGCAATTGTATATATAAGCTAACTATCCATTTAATAAAGTTTTCATTATTATTATTATTATTATTATTATTATTATTATTATTATTATTATTATTATTATTATATGTCGTCATGATGTCACTGTTGAGTTCATATGATGATTGCCAATCCAGAATTGGACCTATTCCCTAATGAACAAAATTTCGATCTAGACAAGTCCAGACAAAAATGTCATCACAGCTTGAAAGAGCATCACAAAATTAGTAATATTCCGAAGTTTCGTTGCGAAATGTTGTAAAATGCGGATAATATAGCCCTGCGAAGTTTGCCGTTTTTCAGTCATTTTGTATTACGCGCGGGAAATTGATACCTTTTTTCAGAAAGCGGTATCAATTTGTGATATATGCTTTCAGTTCACCAGATTAACCCAAATCTGGCCTTAGTTGATAATGTTCGACATCTTTCTCATCCAAAAATTGTCAAACACCAACTTACTCCCCTTTTCTGTTTATAGGCACTGAGGTAACATTCCGTGATACAAGTGCGGTAGTGAATGCGAATATACCTAGCGAACGTGGGGACAAAACCGGTCAAGAAGAAACGTCTTCACCAACAGAAGAAGCAAGCATCAAGGTCATCGTAAAGCAGGAGACGGAGGAGACATCAAAGGAAAATCGTGGCAAAAACAGTCAAGAAAGAGCAGCGCCGCCCAACCAAGATAAGACCAATGCCAAGGGTGACAATCAAGGCGAACAGGCACAAGAAACAGCTTCACCAACAGAAGAAGCAAGCATCAAGGTCAGGGTAAAGGAGGAGACGGAGGAGACATCAAAGGAAAATCGTGGCAAAAACAGTCAAGAAAGAGCAGCGCCGCCCAACCAAGATAAGACCAATGCCAAGGGTGACAGTCAAGGCGATCTGGCACAGCAGTCTTCTGAAGAATCACCTGCAGTAATGGCTGACACAACTTTGACAGGCGCTGTGCAGAGTAGTTCAGGGGAGACTGCTAAGCAAAATCATGGCAAAGACAGTCACGAAAGGACAGCGCCGCCCAGTCGAGATAAGACCAATGTGAAGGACGACAATCAAGGCGATCAGACACAGCAGTCTTTTGTAAAATTACTAGAAATGGCTGACACAACTTTGCCAGGGGCTGCACAGAGTAGTTCAGGTGAGACTGCTAATCAAAGTTGTGGCAAAAACAGTCAAGAAAGAGCAGCGCCGTCCAACCAAGATAAGATTAATGCCAAGGACGACAATCAAGGCGATCAGACACAGCAATCTTCTGGAAAATCACCAGTAATGACTGACACAACTTTGCCAGGGACTGCACAGAGTAGTTCAGTTGAGACTACTAAGCAACATTGTGGCAAAAACAGTCAAGAAAGAGCAGCGCCGTCCAACCAAGATAAGACCAATGCCAAGGACGATAATCAAGGCGATCAGACACAGCAATCGTCTGAAAAATCACTTGTAATGGCTGACACAACTTTGCCAGGGGCTGCACAGAGTAGTTCAGGGGAGACTGCTAAGGAAAATCGTGGCGAGAACAGTCGAGAAAAGACAGCACCGCCCACCCAAGATAAGACCAATGCCAAGGACGATAATCAAGGCGATCAGACAGAGCAGTCTTCTGAAAAATCACCGGTATTGCCAGACACTGCAGAGAGTAGTTCAGAGGAGACATCTAAGGAAAATTGTGGCGAGAGCAGTCAAGAAAGAGCAGCGCCGCCCATCGAACAAGCAGGGACCGGTGTCAAGGAAGACATTCAAGACGATCAGACACATACGTCTATTGACAAATTCATTGCAGCGGTTGAGACAACTTTGCCAGGCGCTTCACAGAGTATTTCAGAGGAAAAGCCAACGAAAGATCGTAACGAATGCAGTCAGGAAACAGCAGCGCTGGCCGTTGAACAGACAAGGACGACAGTCAACGACGACAATCAAGACGATCAGACACACAAGTGTGTTGACAAATCAGCTGTAGTGTTCAAAGCAACTTTACCTGGCACAGTACAAAGTAGTTCAGATAAAAAGTCTAATCAAGATCTTAAAGGCTTTGCAGAAAGAGCACTGGACACAATATTGTCTTCTTTTTGGCCGAGGAAAAGCAATCCAACAGAAGACAATGAGGATGAATCTTTGCCTAACTTGAAAACTACGGATGAGTGTGTGAGACAGGAGCAAACGCAACCTGATGGTTTTCAAAGTGAATTACAAGTGGAGGGAGAAAGAGAAGAAGCTATACCACGTGTAACAGATGATCAGCGTATTGTGGAAAGTTGTCCTACTGTTTCTACAGAATCAATCCAAATCCAGAAAACACCAAACTCAGCAGCGCTAACTGACTCAGCATCTAATGGTAATCAAAACACTAGCGATGAGAAGATTCTAGGACCGATAGTTTCACTACAGGGTAGCGAAGAATTACAATCGAGTAAACAAAAAGGCATTCCAGTTCTAACAGAAATGCAAGGAAACAAAGAATCGCCGAATTGTGCTTCCACTGTCACCTGCATAAAAGAAATTCCGCCAACTACAAAAATAGCGAAGGCCAAAATCCAAGAGGACAATCATGGCATTGAGATACGAATGCCTTCTCACAAATCAGTTACAGTGGTCGAGCCAGATGGTATAACTGCTTTGCCTGAAGCACAGGGCACGTCAAGCGCGAACTCTAAAGAAGTAACCAGAACTGTTGGGCAAGAAGCCAGTGCACAGATTTCGGATGATGAGCGAGCTAAAGAAGATATAGGTGACTGCGAGAAAACTGCTTTAACAAAAAGACAAGAAGAGCAGGATAAGAAAATTGTAGAAAACAAGGAAGGCAAAAACTCTTCCCGTAATGACATGCCAAAACCAGTGACAATATGCACAAATGACGAAGGGATATTACATGGAAGTACGGAGGGACTTCTTTCTGTTTCTTTGGAACCAACAGACAAACAGAAATCACCTAATTTAGTACCACAAACTGAGTCGGCATCTTCTAAAGACGTTGAAACATCTTGCATTGAGAAGGATCTGGAGACAGTTAAACTTTCACAAAATAATGACGATAATATAAGGTTAAGTAAAACCGAAAAGCTTCCAATTCCCAAACAATCAAGTACCAGTAATGGACCTCTGACTTCTAGTCATTTGGAATTAAATACACACGAACCGCCTCCAATACTAACAGAATTACCAGAAAACTACGGATTTCCTACTCTCGGTCAAAGCGATTTACAACTGAAAAGGCACGAACAGTCTGCAATGCCATCGGAATTACTAGAAAGCCAAGGATCTCCTGAGATTGTTTCCAGTCAAAGTGAATCGTGCATATCCAGTGGAAAAATGTCTATTGAAATGCACGAAGAAGGAACAGAAGAACGTGTATTACCCAGCAAACGTGTACTCGACGAAACATCTCAGCAGGTATGTTTGTGCATAGTTAATAGTATAAATGGTTTAGAGAGACTCTGATTAAGGACTCTGCAATCTGATTGGCTCTTAGCAGTGTGATTTTAGCACGAATCGCACTCCTATCTGTGCGATTTCAAAATTTCGCGCGTGCGACGAAATCGCATCATTTTCTCGACCAATCAGGCAAATGACCAAATCATGAATTAAAAAAAAAGTTGTAATCTTTGTTAATAGACTGCCTAAAATGTTTGAATAATACAAGGAATAGAGGCTTGCCCAATGTAAAAATACCAAAGAGTTTTGCACAAATAGTGATGGACAAATTAGGAACAAATTGCACTCCACTCAGTTCGATTACCATTGTTACACAAAACAATAGACACTTCAATTATCAGGGGCCGGTTGTATAAAACACTTACTATTATTACTACTACCGTTTTGTAGTTAAGTCACGTAGTTAAGTCGGTTGTATGAAAGTGTAGTTAGCATTGACTGCAGTTAAAAAGTAGTTAAAGAGTAGTTAAAGTTAACTATATCCAAGGGAATCGTTAACTTCTCAAAACGTAGTTATAAGAATGGCGCCTCAGCTAAGAGTGAACAACATTTTCAGTAAGACAATAATGAAAAGCAACGCTTACCTGGAATTTTCAATCGCTATCTTCCCTGTGAATGTTTCGTGACAGTTATGAACTCCTCAAACGCTATCGCTTTGGTTTTTTGGCGAAAACAGAATATATTTTTGCACAGGAAGATTTGCAAAATGCGAGTCCACAATCGTGTTAAAAATGCTTGTCAGCGGTCGTTAATCACTCATTACGTTGTTTTTAAACATTCCACGCACGCACAGTTAACTACATGATTAATTAACTATGCGACTATGTTTCGAATATCGGCGCCTCAAATATGCTGACTGTTTCAGAGTATGAAGTTTACAGATGCTTAAAATCACTTGATTCTTCTAAATCCACTGGCCCCGACGATATCACTTCATGGGTACTTGTACGCAGAAGTACTTGCGCTCCCTGTCTGTAAAATTTTGAACAGTTCATACGAAGAACAACGCCTACCCTCATCATGGAAAATGTCTAATGTTGTCCCAATTCCCAAGACCACGCCGGTGGAATCTGTTAACAAACACCTCCGCCCAATATCATTAACCCCAATCCTTTCAAAAGTAGCCGAAGAGTTTGTAATTAGAATCCACCTAAAGCCTGCAGTTCTTGAAGTTCTGGACGAGAATCAATTTGGTGTCATTTCTGACTCGTCGACCAGTCATGCCCTGATCAAAATGCTACATAGATGGACAGAGGCAACGGACGGAAACTGATCAACAGTTCGGGTCATCTTATTTGACTATAAAAAATCATTTGATTATATCGATCATACCATTTTAGTAACAAAACTGAAACTTCTACGTATACCCGCCACCACTCTTAATTGGATAATAGATTTTCTCAAGGACAGAAAACAACGAGTTAAAATGGCAAATGATTGTTTCTCCGAATGGGGCAATGTGCCGGCCGGAGTACCACAGGGCACCAAACTTGGTTATTTGCCATAATGATCATTGACCTTAGACCACCACAAGTAGATCAAGCCAAGTTTGTGGACGATTTAACCATCTCAGAAATAGTACCAAAAAATAACTCAAGCAGAATCCAAGAATTCGTTACTAGTATCCAATCGTGGTCTGATAGTATAATCTTTTCTCCTTAAGTGACGAAAAATGTAAAGAGATCAGAATTGACTTCAAGAGAATCAAAAGCGAATTTTCCCCAGTACTTGTAAATGACAAGCCATTAGAAGTTGTATGGAAGGTGAAATTACTTGGTCTTACTATTCAATCTGACCTTAAATGGAATACCGATATCGATAATATCATATCGAAATTGGTTCAGCTAAAACGTGCAAACGTCCCAGCCAGAGATATTATACAGTTTTATACGACATGTGTTCGACCTGTCCTTGAATATGCTTCAAATGTGTTCAATTATTCCTTGCCAACGTATCTTAATGACGATATCGAACGAATTCAAAATCGTGCACTTTCAATTGCGCACCCAGGATTTAAATACGAAGACTCCCTTGTTATGAGCGGACTATCAAGAAATAAATCTTGTGAATAAATCTCCAAAAATATATCTTGGCGAACCCTAATCATAAACTTTTTAATCTTATATCTATAAGTAAGAAAATACCTTTTTATAATCTAAGGAATGAAAGGACAGTTGATGTTCCGAAGTTCAAAACCGAACGATTTAAAAACTCCTTCTTAATAGCTAGTAGTCTTATAGTAAATGATTAGTTATTCCTATTGTTGTTAGATTTCCTATAATCTTAATTCATGTATATATTTATACCTCTATTTTACACTTGTAATCACCTTGTAATTCAGTAACTTTACTGCAAAAAGTGTGATTTTATTAAACTATCAAACTAACTACGTTTTGTGCAACGTGTCAAGTCATGTAATTAATTAATTAATTAATTAATTAATTAATTAATTACAGTTCAGGATTTAACTACGGTAGTTAACGCTAACTACATATTTATACAACTACGTTTTTATACAATCGGCGTCAGATGTACGCCGATATTAGGGAGTTTAAGCTTCACGTTTCCGGGAACGGCAAACGGTAAATTCGAACTTTCTTGGCAATTTTCGTTGAACGTTTTCGTTTCATATTTTATTTCTTGCGTCGAAAGAATAATTATGTATTTCAGTTTTAAAACAGCACGTTCATTCACTCTTTATTGCCTGATACCGTAAACAGGGCCGTAGCGAGGGGGTATTGGGGGGGGGGGAGGTTAACCCCCCAACTTTTGTAAAATTAGCATATTCGGAAAATCGGGTTGGCCATTCGGAAAATTACGGCAATAATAGTATAACAGAATTTCAGTTGTTTAGACAGAGAAAATATTATAAAATGGTATTGTGATCAGTATAAGTTATAAACTGATTTACGAAATCACAGCATTTACATGGATAACATTTAACAAATCGTAGATCGGTAAATATTTTTTCGGTTTATTACTTCTCAGGGCCGTTGCAACAGGGGGGGGGGGCTAGGGCAGCAGCCCTTACAATAATTTGCTGATAATCACTCTTTTTTCAAAATCATGCACACCTTTATAATTTAAATAATATACTTTTAAAATACTGACAATTGATTAATTTTAAGCGGCTACATTATCCATGACAACCCGCAAAGAATCATATTACCCTTACTCTTTCCTGCAACTTCTCCGGTGTAAAGTTAATTAAATACGCCTTCGCCCATTTAGTACTACTAAATTGTAAGCAAATTGTAACAGATTTCAACATACAAAAACTCTATTAACAACTTGAACAGTCGAACCGACTTGACCACGTAGCTCAGTTGCATATGACAGAGATTGGACCAACCTCGCAAGCCAGGATAATTTCAGCCCGCCCGCTCGATCCTGGGTACGAGGTTGAGATTGGACTAGTATCCCAAAGGTCGCGGGTTCGAGTCCCTCATTTCCGCCATGGCCAAGCAAATTTTCAGCTTGCCCGGTGTGGATGCACACTCAGAGTAACATCACAAACATCATATTCACCAGAGTATATAACACCGACACACACACAAAAATCATATCATAAATTACACTGATATCGAAGGAACTAGATTCAGTTCCGAAATATCAAGAAATCGAACCGACTTGACCACGTAGCTCAGTTGGCAGAGCATTGGACTAGTATCCCAAAGGTCGTGGGTTTGACTCCCACCGTGACCAAACAAACTTTTCACCCGGTACCAAACAAACTTTTCACCCACAAATATCATACTAAAACTCTGTTTTCTGACCATCAGAATTCTCTAAAAACTTCCCCCAAAGTCCAGGAAATGGCATTTCAAAGAATCTAAATATAAAAATTTCAAATCCCACCCCCAATCAAAAAGAGCTTCCTACGGCACTGCATGCTTCTGTAATATGTCTGTGCGTACAATATGTGTATTTTTGTTTGTAAGTTGCATCTTCATTTTCCGGATAGAAAACACTTTCGTGGCTTCGTAC